TTTGAAAATAAAAATTACATTGCAATCTATTTTGTAAAAGCTGCAGAAAATAAAAAAATAATTAGAAAAGTTTTTCTGAAATATTTTTGGAAAAGAAAAAAATTTCCAAACAAACGTTTTGAAAAAAATTCAGCAGAAAGATCAGTTTCGTTTTCGCAACTGAAAAAATTTTGAAGGCAAACTTAAGTAAAATAGTAAAAAAAATGTCGAGACATATTTTTTTTAAAAGATTGTAAAAAAATCAAAGTAAGAAACAAATTTTGAAACAAAATTATCAAAAAAAACTATCAGAAAAAATTTTCTAAACAAAATTTAAAAAAAAACTTCAGAAAAACTTTTCGAAATTAAATTCTTAATGCAGAAAAACTGAATGAAAAAAGTCAGTTAGTACAAAAATTATATATATTTTTCTCAAAATTAAGCATTTAAGACGGCAGTTATTTTAAAAATTTTGACAAGAAAAACTTATTTTGTAATTGTTTTAATATAATCTTACCGAAATCGAAATGCACGTACTTTTTGAAGCCATTTGTGAAAAATTAAAAAAAAAAATGTCTTAAGCAGCTTTCAAAAGCTTATAAAAGCACAGCATAATGAAAGTTTTTAATTTGAAATTAAACTGCACACGTAATTTCACATTTACGCTCATCCTTTTGTATATTCTTTGCATGGTTCTTCAAGTAATCAACACTGCTTGCTATTGTCTATGAATAAAGGAACAATATGCCAAACAAAGCACGCTTAACATTCAGCAAACAACACGAGTTTAGTCAGTTTATATTATTATTATTAACTTTTTTGGTTTTTTGTTTTTTCTTCACTACTAATAAATAAATTTAGTAGAAATTATTGCACATAACTTTTTACGAGGCTTGGTTTAGCGTTAGAAAGAGCGTTTGAAAAAGCCAAACAAATTGGTTTAATTTAAACCGTTAAACACCCATACTCTCCTAGCAGAAATTCAAAGACTAGAAAACGAGTCTTTCACACAGCAGTGGCTGAAAGCGCGCACTCGGAAAATGCGTCGAATTTACGTATAAAGACGCACTTGAGCTGTTACTTTTCTTATGTATCGTTATTTTTGAAAATGTACACATAAATACAACAACAACTGCAAAAAATACGCCTAGCAATGATAGCTTTATGTTCTGTAATTGCACTGGCGCGCTTTTGTGCACAAGAAAAGACCTAATGGGCTTTGGAATTTCCATAGGAAATTAAGGTAGTAATAGACTATATAAACTTAATTGTGTTTAAGGCAGCAACAAGTTTCCATACATATGCGTGCATAATTTTCGCAAATTTTTTAAAACATAAAGCTTTGTGGAAGCTTGCGGTGGTTAGTTTTCGAA